TTTTTTTTTTTGTGGTTGATCCTCTTTTTGTTCTCATGTGATATTTTGTAGATTTGTTTATAATGTTTTCATCCATTTGGTTGTCAACAATAACCAAATTGGGTTGACGCTCATAACTGATGATTTTGGTCCCCTCTTTTGTAGGATGCCTCTGAAACTATACAAGGATTGCTCACAAAAGTGAAGAGACTGGAGGCTTCAACTAAATTGGGTTGACACTCATAACTGAATATTTTTTTTTTTAATTACTGGGATTTTATTATTGATATGTGTAGATATTTCTGCTCCCATTGAATTCAGTTTTTGGTAGCCTGTTCATGTTTACTATGTCGCCGCGTTTTCTTTTCTTATTTCTCCCTAGGGAAAAAAATGTTTACTATGTCGCCGCATTTTCTTTTCTTATTTCTCCCTGGGGGAAAAATAGTGAAAAAAGTGAGTGAAAGAGCAAATATTTTTTTCCCCTAAACAATTGTAAATAAAGTGAGATAAACATAATAACTAAAGTTAATGTGAAATAAAATAATGAATATAAGTTGGTGATAGTTAAGATTATTGAGTTGATGAATAGTAAATTTTATTGAAAGTTATGTTACAATTTTTATTTTTATTATATTAAATGAAATGGTAAGATCGAGAATAAAAAGGGAGAAATAAAAAATAGTAAATATGAGAAATTATATATAATTATAGTCTCATTACCAAAAAAATATCCCACTACATGAAATTGAACATAACTTATGTTATCATCCAACTCGGTAATCTGAGATTATTAGCCTCAAACCGCGTCTTAGATGAATTATTACCAGCAATGACATGACCAATAGTTACCCCAGTCCACATACTGAACCGACCAACACTATAGAAGACCGAAGTGACCCTCATAATCGAGAACCGAGGTCATCCCAAAACCGAAGTCACCACGAACCGAGATCACCACCTCCTAAGCTGGTGACAAGGCACCTACACACCATATTCACAAAATACGAGGACGAGTGGGACCCGCTGACAAATACCGCCCATCAATAGTAGCTTTATGCAAAAAGCATCGCACGAATCCCAATATGTATCTTAAAAAGTTACTATAAATAGTCATTCCTGATACTTGTACGGGGATCCCCCGAATGAACATTTTTATCATGAAACACGAAACAACTCAACGAAGCTTTCCACCTCGGTTCACCTCGGACCGGGGCCATTGTTGAGTTTTTATCGCATGTTTTACGTTCAAGTTACTACAATTAATCAAATCAACCGACTTTCTATCGTTGTTAATAACCACATAACAACAGTTTGGCGCTAGAAGGAGGGCCTCATAAGATATTTGAGGTTAATCTTCAATCCTTGGCTCTTTAGTCACAACAACCACTGCAAATATGTCTCATTCGGATCACCATGGGCATACGTCACGTGAAGGACATAGTCGCAGCAATCACTCACCTAGACGTCTTGCAGTTATACCTAATCTGTCTGATTATACCACACTTTTCAAAATCCAGAGTTCGCTCGTGGGTTTGCTGCCTTAATGGCCCAAACAGCTCCCTTAATGTCAACTACAGCACTGGGACAATCTATCATTCCTGCTACCCCTGCAAACCCGAGAAATCCGTCTACCCGACGAGATGGCGGTGGAACTGCGTCTC